CATAGTGGGATCCGGCACAATGCCCTGCTCCGCCTCGCGCCTCTCCAGCTCCTCCACTAGGTCTGCGCCACCAGGGGGGGGGGGGGGGGGGGGGTGGGGAAGAGAAGGGGAAGGGCGATAAGGGGGAAGGGTGGAATGGCGAAAGGTCAGGGGGGGAAGTCGGGGAAGTGAAAAGAGGGGAACAGGGAGGAAGTGATGAAAGAAGACCACCGGAACTTGAAGATAGGCAAACAGACAAGGCACGTGCGAGCGCCCGAACCCCTGTTTTTGAAACCTCAGAACCCCGCGCGCGCAAACATGCACCTTTCCAAAGGCCCACCCCTCACAGCCCCCCAACAGGCGCACACGCGCACCTTTGCGGAGCCCCGGGCCCTGCAGGCGCGCGGAGAAGTCGAGGGTCTCCCGGACAGTCATCTCGCCAATGTGCTCATCGTTCTGCGGCACGTACACTGCTGTGCGCTCCGGTACGAACTCGTTAAGAGCATGCCGTTATAGGTCACGCTGCCAGATACCTGTGAGGGAATATGGGGAGCGAAGGGAAGGGAGGGAATGGACATCGAGGGAAGAGGAGTGGAGTTGAGAAAAATGGGTAAGGGGAGCAGCGAACAGAGCATTGAGCCTCAATGGACGACGCCCAAACTCACTCATACGAGGTTTGTGAAAAACGGCCCATTACATGTTTCCACCTTCTCAATTCCGTCACGAGGCTTGTTCCACATCCCCGTTACAAGCCCCACGCACCTTGAGCGACTTGTCATGGCAGCCCGCGAGCGCCTGCATGAGAGTGGACTTGCCGGCGCCTGGCGGCCCCAGCAGCAGCGTCATGCGGCCCGGCCGCAGCACGCCCGAGCATCCGTGCAGGATCGGATACGGGCGCCGCGAATCCGGCACCACGCGCAGCGACCGCAGCGCCGCCTGAAGGGGTGGGTAAAGGCGGGGGGCGGGGGGTGGGAGGGAGAAGGGGGGGAAAGCAAGGCAGAAACTTCGAAGTTAATTTCACAACTTGTGAAATAAACGGGGGGTTCAGGAAGTGAAACTTGGAGCCACATGTGCGATGGCGGGAAGCGAGTGTCGCGGCGGAAAACTGGGCGCAAGGGAAGCTCGCGTCAAGAGCGTAACTCACGGCAAGCGAGTGCGACTCACGGCGAGCGAGTTGCGCGTGAAGTTGAGGAGCGTGGGCAGCGCGCGCGTGCCGACGTACACGCCCGCCTCGACGTGCACATCCTCGAAGCGCACCTCCACCGCCGGCACGGCCAGCCCCACGCTGCTCGCCATTGGATGACATTGGGCGGCGCGGTTCGGAGGAGCAGGGAAAGAGGGAAGGGAATGCAGGGGAGAAGAGGGGAGGGGAGGGGAGAAGAGGGGACGGAGGTTGGATTACGTATGGAAATCGAGCCCAAAACTGCTGCCATGTCCGTTTCCCGTACTTTCCCTGAACCGGTAGATGCTTCGTACAATCTCACTTCTTTCTGTCTCCTTCGCAGACCGCCGACAACGCGACATGGATACAGGGTTTCTTGGCAATTGTCCGACTCCATGCCACCGCCTCGCGCAGCGCATAATTTCGCGCTATTTCCCGCTGGAACCTCACCGGTCGAGGCGGGCTTTAAGCTTCGTAAGGTACGCCTCGTTGTCCTGATCGAGCGTCTCAAGCGCGCGCTCCACTAGCCGCTCCCGCTGCGCGTGGCTCAGCGCGCGCAAGTCCACTTGCGCCAGCTCCGCCTCCCCTCCTTTCTACCGTCCGCCAGCGCGCCCGCGCCCAGAGTGCTTCCGCCCTTTGGGAGCACTGCCGTGTGCAGGCGGTCGGACGGGGGGAGCTGCTGCAGCTGCGCCCATGCCGCAGGGTCCGCCGCCGCAGGATCGTGTTTGCCTGTGACGAATGCAACGGAATAGGAACGAATAGAGAGGAGAATAAAAATGCGTAAGGCAGTAGGTGAAAAAAAAAGCATACCGGAAATGAGTGTACTTTCTTTATCCAAAGCGTACGTTAGCGTGCCATAAACCTCTCAAAGCTTGTCCTTAATTTTGAAGGCTTCGGGTTCTACAACAGTAGATAGCAGCGACGGAAGTTCAAACTCACCGACGGGAATGTCGCCCGGCATGGCGACTGCCGTCAGAGAGGATAGCAGGGAAAGTTACGCCCCAAGGGTTTCTACGGTATTGGTACTTCTCAAACCCAGCAATAAGTGGAAAGAGCTCAAGCAGGAGTTTTATTTGAAACTAAGGCCACAGGTAAAGGGGGGGAACAAATGCGCTTCGCGGAAAGGGAAGGGAGTGTCTGATTGGAAGGGATTGCTAGCTGCTTGTCCCGCCAAGTTTCGGATTGCGGCGAATGATCCAATGGGCCTATCAATAAGCACGAAACTGTCGCACGGACGACTCGCGAAGCTGTGGAAATGGGTGACGAAAAAATACCCTGTTTACCTGTAGTTTCAGAAACTCGATGTTGGATTGAGACAGAATGTGAGATCGAGAGCAGCTTGACGGTGGTTCTTGTATGGCGGGGAGGAGCAGAGCCACCAATGCCAACATAACCTGGGTTCGCGGAATTGTGAAAAGCAAGAAAGGGATCCGACGTGGCGCTTCCTTAGCGGCAGTGGTGTCAGCAGTTGTGGTCTTGTACCTGCGACGTAGTTGCCCTACAGCGGATATGCATGTCTCGCGATTCGCGAATTTCCATGACGTCATTCTGCCAAACTGTTCAATGCCTTGAAGTTTCCGTAGAGTCGGAGCTCGGAACTTGCCAAAATCGTCTCGATGACGCCAGCAACCATTTAGGCGTGAGGGGTGTGTGTATGCCCTCACCAAAAAGGGCGTGACTCACCACCCTACCTACTTTTCAAGCTAATCGCGCTGGCGCACCAGTTTTGCAAACAACCCACGATATATTCGAACATCGAAGAGCTAGGCAAGGCAGCCTTGAGATTCACTGTTTCGTGGAATCGTGGATCTAAAATCTGGCGTGAAAGGTGAAATCACTACCGGACTCTGCCAATGCAATAACTATCCGTTCCGGACGGATATGATAGCACTGGACAGAGCAATTTGAAACAGCTCACTCTACCCGAGTTTCTCATCGCCAGTGACATAATTACCCGTCGGGCTGGATGACTTCGGGGCACTACCACCACTGAAGGTATTCGCGCTATAGTAAATTTGAAAACCAAGAATCTCACTTACTGCTTCTATGATGTGATACAGAAATACAAACTTGGCATACCAACTACACCCGGCAGGCACGGGAAGCCGAGCCATGGAACACCAGAGACCGCCATGGATTCCGCCGAGAAGCACGCTATCATTGTCCGCGATACCACAGACTTTTCGAACATCCCTCTTAACTACTTGATTTGCCAATATCTGTCCTCTTAGAAGCCATGTCATCTTTGCTGACAATATTTTTTATTGTTACAAAGCATCCAACCTAGGTGTTTGTCAGGCTTCGTCAAGATCGTGTCTGTTGATATTGTTACGCATAGTAGTTAAGACTGACAACAAAGTCATGTCCACTCCTGGGCTTCAGACTTACCAGCAGCAGCTGAGATGCCTACTCTTCGCCTCCGTTACTTGCAGGCCCGATCTTTCCTACATCGCGAGCCAGCTTGCTCAGTACTCTCGCAAACCAATGGCTGAGAATCTCCTAGATCTTCAGCGGGCTCTCCAGTTCTTCATCTCCACACCCAATGTTGGGCTCTGCTACTCCACCATCCCAACCGCGCCCTTCAATCTCATGGGCTACGTGGATGCTGATCACGCCGCTGACCCCGACAATCGACGGTCCAGGACAGGCTTTCTTTTTCGCCTCAAGCCCAGCGGCCCATCTCCCGGAATTCGCAGAAACAGGAGCTGGTTGCACTGTCGTCGGTGGAAGCCGAATTCATCGCAGCAATAGCAGCTGTTCGCGAAGGTCTCTACCTTCAGGACCTGCTACAGGAGGCGAAAATTCCAGCTTCGCCGAACTTCTGCCTGCACTACGACAACCAGAGCGCGATCAGGATCGCGAACAAACCTGGATTCGTCAGCCGCACCAAACGCATCGCGCTGCGGTACTTCTTCGTCAAAGACGAAGTTGAAAAGGGCAAGGTTGACCTAATATATTGTCCGACGGGTGACATGGCAGCCGACTTCCTTACGAAGCGACTGTCACGTCAGCAATACCAGCACTGCTCCGAACTCAGCGGAGTAATCAAGCGAGTCAAGACTCGCTATGGCCAGGAGTGAAGGGGGGTGCTATGAATATAATTAATGAAACATTATTGTGCAGTCCTGACAGCAGCAATCGAACTATGCAGTACCGAGGCTGAAGACGAAAGGGCAGAAGTAACACGAAGGGTCAGACCGTTACAAAGCATCTGGACCGTCAACGCATACAGCATCACGCAGCTGTAGTGGCGAGGATTCTGTCCGGACAGTGTCGTAACCGTCTGGAGTCGCACGGTTGTGAGAAGAAACGAGAATGAATGAACTATGAAACAAGTGGGTACAAGTACTAACCCTAATTGGGTTGTACCCCCTATGGGATACCCCACTACAGCCTACACAATGTGTATAAGCTACAATGTTCTGACACACCCCTATAGGCAAAGTGGGGGAGAACAGGGGGTCACAAGACCAGTCAAGCAAAGCAAAGCAAAGCAAGCTCACGGTGGATCACAAAGTCACCACACATTCCGAGCACAAGTTCAAGGCCACAGGGCCAGTTCACATGCAGGAGTACACATATATATGTAAGGCTAGACAAGCAAGAGCAGGTATATATATATATGTAAAAGTACAAGCAAGGTCAAGAGGTGAGCAAGTGAGGCAAGACATGCACAAGACCCAACTGAGTGCAGAACCGCTGATGATCACAAGGCGCAAGTGCCTTGGTGAAGTGAAAGAATCTAGGTATAGGTTGGCTTAGGAGCCATGACTAAGGAGGTTCTTAGTAGCTTAGGTTTTAGGGTTGAGGAGAATGTCGACAAAGTTGAGAAAGGGAAAATGAGTGGTTTCACTATAGGTTTGCAAGAACATATAGCAAAGTAACAAAGAAGGTGCACCACCAAATAAAGTTTATAATAACTACACTAACTACAGCTACAGGCAGTTACAGATATATTCTGACACTCCCCCATAACTGCCTGCAGCAGAAGCTAATGCAGAGACACCCCTGAAGGGGTACACCAAGCGCAGGAGGAGAGGGCAAGTGAGGAGGAGGGACTATTTGAGGAGAAGCTGCTGGCAGGTTAAGCTGCTGGCTCAAAGGCGGCTGCTTCCTGGAACCTTCCTCAGTCCTCCAACTCCCCTTTCCACACTCCTCGACAACCCTGGCACCTCTCTCCCAGCTCCCCCACACCCTCACACCCACCCTCCCCCCAGCGGCAGCTGCAGCAGTGGGAGAGAAAGGAGGAGGAGGGGAAGGGGATCACACACACCCATCACCCCCATACCCGCCACCCCCATAGCCTCCGTTCCACGGCTGCACACGCAGCAAGGAGACAAAGAGGAGGGGGGGGGGGGGGGGGTGGGGGGGGGGCAAGGGCGACAGAGCAGAACAGAGTGCACGAGGGCGTGGGGCAGCAGGGCGCACAGGGCTGCAGGGCAGTAGGGCGCGCGGGGCATGCAGGGCTGCAGTGCACGCAGGGAGCGCAGGGCAGCAGGGCAGCAGGGCGCGCAGGGCGCGCAGAGCTGCAGGGCGCGCAGAGCTGCAGGGCGCACGGGGCGCAGCAGGGCTGCAGGGCGTGAGGGGCGCGCAGGGCAGCAGCAAGGGCTGTAGCGGCAACAGCAAGGGCTGTAGCGGCAGCAGCAGGGAAGCAGGGCTCACAGGGCGCATAGGGCAGCAGGGCGCGGGGGGCGCGCAGAGTAGCAACAAGGGCTGTAGCGGCAACACAGGCACGGGCAGCAACGGGCGGCAACGGGCAGCACACGCACAGGCAGCAACGGGCGGCAACGGGCAGCGCAGGCACGGGCAGCAACGGGCGGCAACGGGCGGCACAGGCACGGGCAGCAACGGGCGGCAACAGGCAGCACAGGCACGGGCAGCAACGGGCAGCACAGGCACGGGCAGCAACGGGCGGCAACGGGCAGCACAGGCACGGGCAGCAACGGGCGGCAATGGGCAGCACAGGCACGGGCAGCAACGGGCGGCAACGAGCGGCACAGGCACGGGCAGCAACGGGCGGCAACGGGCAGCACAGGCACGGGCAGCAACGGGCAGCACAGGCACGGGCAGCAACGGGCGGCAATGGGCAGCACAGGCACGGGCAGCAACGGGCGGCAACGGGCAGCACAGGCACGGGCAGCAACGGGCGGGCAACGGGCGGCACAGGCACGGGCAGCAACGGGCAGCACAGGCACGGGCAGCAACGGGCGGCAACGGGCAGCACAGGCACGGGCAGCAACGGGCGGCAACGGGCAGCACAGGCACGGGCAGCAACGGGCGGCAACAGGCAGCACAGGCACGGGCAGCAACAGGCAGCACAGGCACGGGCAGCAACGGGCGGCAACGGGCAGCACATGCACGGGCAGCAACGGGCGGCAACGGGCGGCACAGGCACGGGCAGCAACGGGCGGCAACGGGCAGCACAGGCACGGGCAGCAACAGGCAGCAACAGGCAGCACAAGCACAGGCACCAACAGGCAATACAGGCACAGACAGCAACAGGCAGCACAGGCACGGGCAGCCATACCGAGTCCAGGAGCGGCGGTGCATACAGCTGTGGGGTCGGCGCCGTGGGCTGCTGCTGAGGCGGCTGCTCCAGGCGCTGCTGCTGGGGGCGGGCTGCAGTGGCGGCGGCTCCACGGGCAGCTGCTGCTGGGGCGGCCGCTGCAGTGGCGGCAGCTCCAGAGGCTGCTGCTGTTTGAGCGGCGGCTCCAGGGGCTGCTGCGCCTGGGGCGGCTGCTCCAGGCGCTGCAGCTGCTGGGGCGGCGGCTCCAGAGGCTGCTGCTGCTGGGGGGCGGCTACTCCAGGCGCTGCTGCTGATGGGGCGGCTGCTCCAGACACTGCTGCTGCTGGGGCGGCCGCTGCAGTGGCGGCAGCTCCCGAGGCTGCTGTTGTTTGGGCGGCGGCTCCAGAGGCTGCTGCTTGGGGCGGCTGCTCCAGGCACTGCTGCTGAGGTCCAGGGGCGCGCGCTGGTGCAAGGTAGGCCCGCGCTCGCCTGCAACGCTGGCGCGGGCGCGGGTGAGGCAGAGGCGGTGGCCAGGGGGGAGGGCGCCGCGACGAGCAGGGACGGCGCCCAAAGAGTGCCGCTACGAGCACGGGCGACGACCCAGGGGCGCCGCGACGAGTAGGGGCGGCGTCCAGGGGGCGCCGCGACGAGCAGTGGCGACGCCCCGCGGGTCCCGCAGTGGCGTCGCGACGAGCAAGGCGACGCCTTGCGGGTCCTGCAGGGGCGTCGCTACGAGCAGGAGTGGCGACGCCCGGGTCCCGCAGGTGCGTCGCGACGAGCAGGAGCGGCACCTCGCAAGGCGCCGCGAAGTGGAGGGTACGGGCGGGAAAATCAGGCCCGCCCGTGGACGTGAGGTAGGCGCGCAGGCGGCGTGAGGGCAGGCCACGCGCGGGGCAGGAAGACGCCGTGCGCCCAGGGCGCACGGCGGGAGAAAATCGCCGTGCGCCAGAGGCGCACGGCAAGACGATAGGCAGCGGAAGCAGGAAGGCAGCAGGAACGTACCTGCTCTGATACCATGATAGAATCTAGGTATAGGTTAGCTTAGGAGCCATGACTAAGGAGGCTCTTAGTAGCTTATGGTTTTAGGGTTGAGGAGAATGTCGAGAAAGTTGAGAAAGGGAAAACGAGTGCTTTCACTATAGGTTTGCAAGAACATATAGCCAAAGTAACAAAGAAGGTGCACCACCAAATGAAGTTTATAATAACTACACTAACTACATCTACAGACAGTTACAGATATATTCTGACATGAAGACATCAGCACTGTTGGCCTCATCAGGCCACGTACGCAAGCCGCAACTGACCACGCTGCTGTAGCTCACAAGCAAGGAAGTAGCGAAGAGCAATGTGCTTTGTTCTATGCTCCAGTCTCTGCTCTCTGACATAAGGCCAGCATGGCCTTGTTGTATACGTACTAGAACTGGAGGAGAACGAGGCGGCTCTCCGAGGTCAATAAGCAAGTAGGTGAGCCAGCGAATCTCCTGTGCAGCCATGGACCCTGCGTAGATCTCAGCCTCACAACTGGAGCCGAGAACAGAAGACGAGCGAGTAGCCCGCCACGAAACAGAGCCGGAACCAAGGCGAAGGTGTAACCCTGTGACGACCGATCTGCGTAGCCTGGTCGTCAACCCAAGAAGCGTCTGCGTGCCCAGTGAGGACCACTGGACTCCGCCCTCCAAGCACTAGCCCCATGCCCGACGTACTGCACAAGTAGCGCAACACCCTCTTCGCTGCAGCCATGTGCTCTGGTCGGTGTCTCCAGGAGCAACATAGCGTGCGAGAATGCTAAGAGGGTATGCAAGGTCAGTCGAGTGCAGGTTCATCAGGTACATGAGGCCGCAACAAGCTCTGGATACGGGCCCACTCGACTCTACGGACTCATCCGAAGGCAGAGCTGAGAGCGAGTGGCGAGTAGACAGAGGAGTGGCCTGAGGTGAGGAGTACGTGAAGCCGAAGCGCTGAAGGACCTGCTGCACCATGTGTGACTGAGTCAGGGTGATGGTGCGGCGTGCTCTGTCCCGGGTGATCTGCAAGCCAAGGTAGCTGTGCAGTTCACCCAAGTCTGTGCACGTGTGTCTCTTCTGCAGCTCGGACTTCACGTGGGCGAGTACAGCAGTTGTCAGCTGTGGCAAAGACCATAGTCGTCGACGTACACGAGGATGTAGAACGGCGGCAGAGAGGTGTTGGTGCGCAGAAGAACAGCGACGGGTCGGCAGTAGAAGGAGCAAACCCAAGTGCCGCAAGCATAGTCCTCAGTGTGTTGTGCCCACTCACGGGCGCCTGGAGGAGACCGTAGACTGGAACACCGGAGGCTCCACTGGGTACCAGGAGGGAACGACCCAGTGAAGCCAGCGTGGGCGGCGCAGCAGATTCTCCATCGTGCAGGCTGCCCTGCAAGAAAGCTATGCTGAAGTCAAGAGAGTGAAGCTCATAGTCACGGTTGAGCAGCAACGTGCAGCAGTACCCGAAGAGTGATCATCTTCGGGGTGGGAGAGAAGGTCTGAAAGTAGTCAACTCCCTGCCGCTGACTGAAGCCACGAGCCACGTAACGCGCCTTGAAGACAGGCGGAGAACCTGGCAGCCGCTTTCACCCTGAAGATCCACATGCCACTAACGATGTTCGCCCCAGGCGGGGGAAACCTCGTCAACGTAGGTGCAAGTGGACTTCCAAGAAGCCATCTCTGCGTCCATAGCTGCCTGCCACTGAGAGGAGTAGGGACCCTCTATCGCCTCCGCGTAAGAGTGCGGAGTCGGGATGTCAAGTGCCATCCGGGTCTCCCTCAAGGGTAAGCATACGGACACGAGATGAGGTGAAGCAGCAGCCAGACACTGGAACACCTGCCTGCCTGTCGTCAAGGACGTCCGTGCCAAGGGCACACTCACCCCCGACCGACGGAGGACAGACAGACTCAGACTCATCAACAAGACTAGCATCGTAGTCGAGGCGACAGCGAGCAGCAAAGTCGACGAGCTCAGCAACTAGGGCAGACGCAGCAGTGGACTCAAAGGAAGGGTCAGTGACAGACAGTAGCAAGGAGACGCGTGACAATAGGACTGGCAGCACGAAGAGAGTCCGACTCCGGGTCGGCAAGAGCAGGAAGAGAGGACTTAGGAGGAGAAGGCAAAGGGGCACGCAGAAGAGCAGTGGACGGACGAAGAGACATTCGGTGCGTGCCAGGGATAGGAGGAGGACGCTGACGGGAACCACGACCAATAGTGCGAGCAGCACGGACAGGGCGACGCAGGGGCGAGACGCAGGCTCACGACGCTCAGCAAGACCTCCAGTAGGACCAGTGTAGGGAGAAGGAGCAGGTAGGGGGGAGGCAGGCTGTAACTGTGACCGCGACTGGACAGGCTGTGGACACTCTAAGGGAGAAGGAGGACCAATAGAAGGCGGAAGACCAAGAACCTGCTGCACGAGCGGAACGAAGTACGGTCGAGGCCGCGCGGCGACTCCGGACACAGCACGGACAGCACCAGTACCCCCAGCAGGAGCATCAGCTCCAGCAGCACCTCCAGCTCCAGTACCCGTAGCAGCTCAAGTAGCTCCAGGACCTCCAGCAGCACCAGTAGCACCCCAAGCAGGACCGCCAGCAGTAGTCTCAGCGCCAACACCCTCAGCAGCACCAGCTCCAGTCGGACCCGCAGGCCCAGCAGCTCTAGTACTCCAGTACGAGTACCTCCGGGACCCGCGACACCAGCACCCTCAGTAGCCGAAGAACCTCCAGCTCCAGCAGCACGGCTCCAGTGCCGGGCAAACCACTCGCGCAGCTCCTATGGAGAGAGTGGCTCCCGCCAAGACGAAGCACCCGGAGAACCTCCAGGCCCAGCACCACCAAACGCCACAACGAACAGGTCCAGCTCCCTCAGGCTCCACACCTCCAGGCGTAGCACCTCCTAGCTCAGCACCCCCAGGCTCAGCACCCCCAGGCGTAGCACTCCCAGGCACAGCACCCCCAGGCTCAGCACCCCCAGGCATAGCACCCCCAGGCACAGCACCCCCAGGAGTAAGCACCCTCAGGCTCAGCACCCCCAGGCGTAGCACCCTCAGGCTTAGCATCCCCAGGCTCAGCACCCCCAGGAGTAGCACCCACACGCTCAGCACCCCCAGGCTCGGCACCCTCAGCAGCACCAAAGTCACCAGTAACCTCGACAGGCTCGACTGCGTCTACCTGGGACACACCTGAAGGGGCAGGACCCTGAGGGGGGAGGGGGTCTACCGAGGGGGGACCGGATACAAGGAAGAGCGGTGGCGGGGGGAGGGACGGAGTGCGGTAGGGGAAGAGGCTGGTAGTAGGGGACCGACTCGTCAAACATGACGTCCTGGGAGGACATAACATGGGGCGAGGTGGGGTGGTAGAACTGCCACCCGGGCGCATCAGGGGGGAAGCCAAGGAAGATGCAAGGAGCAGCACGAAGGAACAGCTTGTCCGCAGACAAGTCGCGGACAAACGCCCGAGATCCCCAGACACGGAACGCAGATGCATCGCCAAACCTTCCCCGTCCACAGCAAAGCTGGGGAGGTCTCCGGCCTGGAGACCCTGGGGTGAAGGTTGATCTGATGCGCCGCGTACCTAACCGCAAACGGCCACAGAAAATGGGGGGCAGTCGCATGCATCATGGACGTACGAGCGACGTCCATGACCATGCCAATGCGGCGCTCAGCAATCTCATTTTGCTGCGGAGAGTCCGGAAGCGTGAAGGTCTGACGGTTGCCTCGTGCACGACAGTAGGCTCTCAGAAGGCCAGAGGAGAACTCTCCGCCTCTGTCAGAGTGCAGACGCAGAACAGGAAAGTCCGAGCCGAAGCTCTGCCTGAGGTGGAGACAACCTGCGCGGATCCTAGTCGAT